CTTTATAGCCATCAAGCATCATCATCTTCATGCATCGTTAGGTTTAGGATCGAGTTCCGTCACCTACAAATATCAAGTTCATTGCCACAAGGAAGGTTCTAGGGTTCGAGTGTTTCTTGCTTCTAGAGTTTCAAAACTATAACTATAGCCAACATTATTTGCGATAGAGCTTCAAAGGTTCTTATTTAAGGCATGTCTCAATTTTTGTAAGAATATTTACTAAGAAATTTAAACCTTTGGTTTATTATATAGCTAGAGTTCTTGGGTTGCATTGATATTTAGTATTCTGATTAGTATTATGAAAACTTATTGTTTTACTAACAATATTTTGAGTATTTTTTAAAATAAAATCTTTGTTTAGAACAATGTGCTATTTTTATCTTATTTATTATATTTTTAATGAATTATAATTCATCCATGTAATTAATGTCTTTTCACATTTGAGCTTTTAAAAGGTGGAAAATTTGGTCCAAAGAAAAATTCAAAAACAGTGCATCACATAGCTGCACTATTTACAATGATCTCAAATTTTTATAAAAGCTTTGAATAGGACACTTATAGACATATTTCACTGGTTTTCTATTTTAAAATTTTTTTGGTATTTTTATAAATTTTTGAGCATTTGAATAGTACATTAATTTTCTATTTCTAAAAAATTATAAGGCAACCATGTAATATTTTTTTCATATTTGAGCTTCTAAATAGTCAACAATAAATGTAAACAATTTAGTCCAGAAAAAAATATAATATGAATTTTTAGCATTTGAATAGTGTGTCAATTTTTTATTTTCTCTTTATTTTTTGTATTTCTAACAAATTATAAAGTATCCATGTAATATTTTTTCATATTTGAACTTCTAAATAGGTCAATAATATATGTAAAAAAATTAGTCTAGAAAAAAAATTCCTAATATGTGATGCACTATTTTTGAGGAAAAAAAAATAGTGCATCGCATAGATGCACTATTCAAAATGATTTAAAATTTTTAGAAAAACTTTTAATAGGACAATTATGGACATATGTCACTAATTTTCTATTTTAGAGATTTTTTTGATATTTTTATGGATTTTATGGACATATAAACAATGCACCATTTTTCTATTTTTTTCCTTGTTTTTTCTAGTTAGATTATTTTTATTAAATTATTAACTCTAACTTCTTTTGTTTTTAAACAAAAAATAATCATGTCATCTTATGCTTATTATATGTATAGAATGTCCAAAGCCAACTACAAGAATGTCAATTTAAGCATACGTATGTTTTTGTTTATATAAGTTCCCATTTAATTTTTTTAATTATCATTGATAATTTTTAAATTTCATCATTGTAGTTCCATTTGTTGGTGCCATGGATCAAGTCATTTTGATGATGAAAAGGAGTCCAAAAGCCATTCTGGTTGGATAATTTCTGGACAAAGCTTTGTTGATCATTTTTATCATTTTTTTTATGATGCCTACCAAGCATAATTGAGTAAGATTGGTCTCAATATCATTAAGGATGGTATTTCCTGAATATCCCTGATATTCTTGTATCTCACGGATTAATATTTATAATTATATAAAGATTATATGAGAATATAAGTTTCTAGTGAATGGAGTGGAATTATTTTTTATTATGTCTATCGTATCTCCTTTGCTTTATCTATTATCTATACAATATTGGAGATGTTATTGATCCGAAGTCATTTGGATTCATAGGATATCTTACATAAGTATTTTCCTTCTAAAGGACCAACTTATAGAGATTTGGAAAGGTAGATGATAAATTTACATCTAGGTGATGATGATAAATCAATAATGAACTTTTGTCAGATGTATAATTGAATGATTTAAACATTTTGAATAAGTATAATTGACTAGTAACAATTTATTCATTTATTTATGAGAGAAATGTCAATGCCCTTAAGCTAACGATACAAGTGAGAATTTATATGATCGATGATTATTTTCAAATTATTGACACTTTAAATATTTATTCTTTTTTTTTTGTTATCATGTGTTGATTCAATTTTTACTTTGTTTCTTCTACCAACTCTAATACGATACGATCATATTCTCTTCATATCCAATATTATTTGCTTCTCATTAAAAATATTTTATCATTACATGTCTTTTTGTAGGTGTTTGTTCTGTAATAATATTCATAAAAGGAATTTAGATTACCATTCTTATACAATAGCAGTAAGAACATGAAAATTTTAAAATATCAAAAGACCAACATGAATAACTTCTTTTCTCCAAATCTATTATAATTGTCTTAGAGGATGTATGTACTTGTAATTCAGCATAAGTATAAAAAAAGACACCATAGTATTGATCCTTGTCCATTACCTTAGTAAATTGATCATCGACGATATTTATTAAAGTTGATTTTAAATTATTAATTATTTCACGATGAATACAAATCATTCAATAATCTTCCTCCTAATCATTTCATAAAGGTAAAATAGGTAAGCCACGAGCATCCTTCAATAATAAATTTATACTTTTTGATACATTTATGATAAGTATTATATAATGATAGTCAAGAAAATATGTAGAAGCTTTTTTTTTTTTCTCTCAATTTTAGATATCCATATGACACTTTTAATATGATTTTTCCTCAACTTTTATGTGCATTCATTAAACTTGTACATAGTAGTGGATCTAGTAGTAATCCAAAATAGTTTTGAAGATCTCTCTTACAGTTGAAATTTTTTTTAAATTTTGAATACTAATAATAGTCAAATTTTCACATCCCATAATACATATTCTCAATTGATGCAAGAACTTTTTCCCATGAATCCCTACACTCAATCTTTGTCCCAAAAAATACAATTGGAAATAATTTGTTACAACTATTAATAGTTATAGTAATCATCAAAGCACTGAAATATTTGCCTAATAGATATGCAATATTGATACCAAAAACATGTCACATATATAATCTGAAACTTGTAAGACAAGCTCTGAAAACCTCAAATATTTTTAAAAAATGATTTTATGATGAAACTATCATTTGGACATGAGTCTCATACTTATACAGTTTTAACTCCTTTAAAAATAAAATTATATTAGTGTATGACAAGTCAAAGTCACCACTAATCTCATTAAGTGCAATATTTGATATAAGATAAGTCTTCCTATATGAAACAACTCCGAGCAATAATCATCTTTGAGGTATAGTCAAGATTTCCTATAACTTAATCTTTGATTTGATTTACAATGAAAGAACTATTGCATTCCTTATGATCCCTCTTTGTAAATTATAATCATGCTCTTTATGAAACTTGATAATTAAAAAACTATTAGTTTTATCACAAGCTATTATCATCCATTAGCAATAGAAAACTTTATATTTTGTTTTTTATCTTATAACTTGTAGTTACAATATATTTAATCTCAAAATTTCTTTGAATGACATAGTCTTTGAAGGATTTTTGAAATTCAAGCATATCTCATAACACCTATTCAATGACATTATTATTTGGGTTATAAATACCATACCTAATCAACAAACAAAACATTGTATGAACAATCATCATCTTCAATGAAAGAAACTATTGTGTTTAATAATACACCATCATTTCGGCTATAATCATATTTAACAAATATTTATTCAACATTATCATATATATTCTCACTTAAAATAACTCGTTGATCAACATATGATGAATCATAAATATTAGGGTTTATATCACCTTCAACCTCTTGTAAGTTTTCTTTAGTTAATTCAATTTTGAAGATATCATCACTATCATCATTATCACAGTAACATGGGCTATCCAAGTCTGTGAAAAGAATATCAAAATATGATCTTTTTGATAAATAATTTTCACCCAAATTTGATGTCTCATCTAGTGTCTATCTATCAATATCATTAAAAACCGAAAATACTTCGTCGGGAATAAAATCCTTCCTATAATGAGATTATTAGAATTAAAAAAAAATTAGAATCAATGAACCAATATAATAATAGTAACATGAGTTATAACACATTGGCTCCTATAAATACACAGTATGAAACAAATATTTTTTTAATGGCATGAATATATTTACATGGTGTTTTTTATCTTCTTGATTCAACAAGAAAGAAAAGAATAAAAACAAGATGGACAAGAAGAATAGTAGCAACTCACGTATGAAGAATGGAGATGACAAAGGAGATGAAAAAAAAAAAGTGACAAAAGAGAAGCTATTTTTGCTTTCTTCATCGAGATTGACACTTATACTATGACAATAACTTACTGTACATTGTACCATCCACTTTACAGGTCTCCTCAACAGAAATAAAATGTTAAACCGATAGTGAACCATCTCAACTCGATCCGATCAACAAAATCTTACTAAACTGATAGTACAAAAGCCACTATTTTAGGCAAAAAAAATAATAGCTTAGCTATCTAGGGATAAATAGGTAAAATAACTCATCAAGGGGTGTTGTTTTAATTTTTTTTTTAAATAAAAACACTCTATAAGAAAAAAAAATCAAAATTAAAAACTTGTTTTTAAAATTCACTCGAACAATAACTTAAAGCATTATATATGGTTGACGCAATAGCAAGTATCTACATCACAGTTCCTGTGAATGCATACAGAGAACCAATCCAAGTCCTTGTTTCAGTGAAAAAGAACAGAGTTGGATCAAACAGATTTAAGCTTGGACTTGGATCAAACAAGTTGAAACTGCTATATATATATAGAACACGTTAAGAGAGTCATGAGTCACTCATCAAAACTACAAGAACAAACTTCATCAAAATGAAGGACATAAGAAAGGAGCTGCTACTTGGTCAATGATAAAGAAGATTTGGTTTTGTAGAAACACCTTAAAGACACCAAAAGTATTGTGGCATGTCAGTGTTTTATTTTGGTGATAAAACTACATATCAAACTTAAAAACCACAAGAAACACTAACCTCAATCGCTTTTCCGCGTAGATGCCAACGAAGCCTCTTGCAATATTTAAAGATAATATAATACTCATTAGACAGATCACTGAATGAATAAATTTCCCTGTGGGAGCAAAATCAATCTACTGGAACCAGCCCAGATCTTCACGTTCATGCAAAGCAAGACAAATTTAACACAAAAGATTGTTTGTACCTCCTTAAGGAATTAAACAAAGCATGCCTTTATTGAATGAACTGACATGGGCTAGAAGTGAAAACAGTTATCTATATTCTATATACATGACAATGAATTTGGAGCGTCATCTTCCCAAGTTTTCTTTTGTACATCACTATGGCGGCAAGGAGAGCAAAATACAATTACAGCTTCCTTTCCCTCCTGCTCTTTTGGTCATGGAAACAAAAAATTGTCGTGGATTGTTCTTTATCACTACTTTAGTGAGTTCTTTTCAAGCAAAAATTTGGCAATCCAAAATCCTTCCTGGTCTGGGCTAAATCTTGCCTCCAAGGATCATTATGCAATTTATAATGCAATACCTGTAGAGAGGATCCCTAATAGAATCAGCATAGCTAGCAAATTAACATAAATTGAAATCAGATGGACAATAAGTCGCTGCAGACAATTTCCTAAGTTCAGAGGTGATAATAATACAATACACACCTTTGTAAGGTACCAAAAAAGATGATTAACAAACTTGTTCCAAGGTAAGTCAAATTCTAGCCAATGTTTAGCTTAGACAAATTAACTGCCCAAACCAACAGTTAATGCACCAGAGATTACATAATCAGAATATTGCTTACTCTAGTCCACTGTATGACTAGAAGTAGAATCTAATACAAAGATCAGTCTACTTTTTTATTAGGCACAAGAAGAATAATCAGGACCATATATTTTGTGCGACATTTAATGACAACAATGTTGACTTCTGAATAAATTTCTAATCAAAGAATATCAACTATCAGTAGCAAAACTTATTAGGGTGAACAACTAGTTTCAATTTTAAAAGAAAGGTTTTAAATCCTGAATCAGATATCTCAATCTGGTTTTCTAGACATTGCCATACATACTCTTGATATTATTCAAAAGATAAGGTTAATTCTTGTGGATGATCAATAGCCAGGTTGTTCACTCATATTTAAATATTATCTTGAGCTTTCAGGATCAACTGTCAGATCTAGTTTAACTCCCTAATATCCTCCTTGCAGACAACCACTCGACGGTCAGAACAACAATCCTAGGAGCAATAGAAGCATGGAATAATAATAAACACAAAAGTTACGCGCATTTCTTTAAAAAATTCTTCTGATAACCAGAGGATGCCGTAGGAACCTACCAGCTATAAGCAATGGTGATGGCCAAATCCTTTAAAGCAGTGCAATGAACATCATGCCAAGCATTTTACCAGAAGGCTCTTACGAAGATATCAAATTTTTTCAAGAGGACAAAAATTTATTTTGGTACAGAAAATTGAACCAGTCCACAAATCTCAGTAATCTGTATAACAGAAGATATACCACATTCATAGAATGAAGAAATTCAAGAGATAGCAAGGATGACACCAACTTGGAGAGGAGTAGCTATCTTGCTTAGAAAAATCCTCTTAAAGAGCAAATCCTGATCACAGCAAGTACCCAAAAAACTATGTGCTTAAATTTAGAGCAGCAGCAATGTATTTGCATGCCTCAAATTAAAAATCAGTGCTGTGGATAATTGCTACTGCTCTAAATTTACGCACATAGTTTTAGGGTGTTTGCCATCGATCACCTAAAACATTTGGATTTGAGAAAATTTTAGGAATATGTCTACAAATAGGACACTAACATTTGAAACCATGTCTCTTCAATATGAAGACAGGCTTGAACCTGATAAGAGGTGGATGCATGATGAATATGGATACAAATAGGGGTGTTAGACAAAAATACATTTACAAATAAGATTTTAGATGGATACAGATACAAGTCATTTTGAAACTGATACATACTACAATATTCAGTGATGGAATTTGATTATGGTTATTATACATAGGAGGTCAAGATATTGGCACATTACTAAAGGACATGCTGTGATCTGCATACAGATCCAAATAAAAGTGAAAAGGATGCAAGTAACAATTGGTCTACCACATCAAGTGTAACGTGAATAGCTAAATCTCCATTGCTCACACTAGTATTATCCATGTGTCACCATTGTGATATATGGATTGACACTAAAGGAAACCATCCAGATATCCCAATCCAAACCCAAAATTGGCTAAATGTCCAAACAAAGATCCGGATTGTAAAAGCAAACCCATATGTGTATTCAGAAATATATACATCCATATTGACTGAATCCAAATATGGGTACCCAGTTATATCTGAATTTAAATCTGGAATTGTTCAGATGTTATCTTATCCATTTTTTTAACCAAGTGAATTGGATAGAAGGTAGATTCAGTAAAAAGCACATTCACTTGATAGTACCACCTAGAGCATAATTCCATTTTGTTTACATACACCTGTTATGAGACATTAAGGAAAACAATTTAATGTCAGACTTCATTAATGACAAATAAGATGCAGCAATTTGATGATCATGGGCATCATCGACTACAAGTACTTTCTATTAACTTGCAGGGGAAACTAATTATGAAGATGTCATAAAATCATTCAAAATCTTTATCCATGCAGAAACAACATTATCCGCTAATAATAATGAAAAGTGTCAACACATTAAAACCAAGGTTATGGAGCCGTACTGTCAC